AAGCCAACGCCCTACTGTACCAGCGCGTCCGCCCCGCCAACAGAGGGCAGATGGAGTTGCTCCTGCTCATAGCGGACGCGAAGCGCCTGCTCGACGACAGGAGATACGCACAAGCGCTGGACAAGATCGTGCAATTGAACATCCTGCCTCTGTCCGCGTCGGGCAACATGGGATTGATCAGAGAGCGGGCGGCGAGTTTCAATGCGCTGCCGCCGTTGGTGGCGAAGTTGGTGGGGCCGTTATTGGTGTGGACTGTGAGGTGCTGTGAGGGGCAGAGGAAAGTTTTGGAGGCTGAGGGATGGGGCCCGGAGAGGAGGGATGTGCTGGAGAGATTGGCGCAGGGGAGGAAGGATGCCTTGGTTTTTGCTGGGGTGGTGAGGTATAGGTTGGGAGCGAGGGTTTGGGAGGCGTTGGCTGGAGAGGGGGGAGTGGAGGTGTGACCATCATACTGGAAAGCGGTAAAAAGATGGGGGATATGGTGGAGAGGGTGTAGTGGCCATAGTTCATGCTGCTTCTGGGCGTAGCGTAATGCGATACATTACAAGCGGCTGTTGTTCTGGTCGGCTTGGCTTACTTTCGACTGAAGTGCCGTGATGTGCCCCAGTGTCGCCTATCGATGGAAAGGCATTGCTGCTCGCACCGGGGTGCTTATGCCGTGCGTATACCGTGTCATGGCTCGTGACCAATTCGACCAGAGGTCGACAATCCTCACTTCGTCTGGTGGCTCTCTGTATCTGCCGCATGCCCCCACACTTCCATCCCTCGCTCGTAGCCATGCCTCTGCGTAGCTATGCCTCTGGCTTAGTTGCGTAGACACCCGGTAGTCAACCTAGTCTACGCAGATCCTTACTCCTCACATGTCCTCAACCTCTCACAGCAGCCTGCCCCATCTGATCCACGTTCCCCGTCTCCAGCTTGGTTCGTGCGTCATCATCGCTTGCCCGCTTCCCGTCCAAGCCCCCTATTTTTTCCCACCCTTTCCGTCCAGTCCCTCAGACCATTCTTTCAATATATATATGTCCATACCTCCTATCTTCCAGCCTCATTTCTTCCCCTCCTTCGCCTCTCTCATCTCCCCCACCCTCCCCTCTACCTTCCCAAGTACGACCTTCATCTCCTCCCCTTCCCACTCCCTCCTCAAGTCCGCGACGCCTGCTGTGCCTGTCTGGGCTGCATCCCGTAGCGCGAGAAGAGCTGCGCGTTTTCGTTCAGAGGGCGAGAGCTGGGAGTGAGATGGGTTGGGGCGGAGAGCGGCGAGAGGGCGTAGGAGGGAGGGGACAGTGCCGCGGAGGGAGTCGATTTGGGACTGGAGGGCGGAGATGCGAGAGAGGGCGTGGCTGTATTGGGTCTCGGTCCAAGGGCCGGAGGAGGGGAGGTCTGTCATTGTGGTTGTGGGAGTGGGAGTGGTGAAGTGATTGTTGTTTGAAGGGGAGGGGCGGCGAGGTGGATGTGGAAGTGGAAGGTGGTGGTTGCGGAGGAGGGCGGAGATTTGTCCGCGTACCTCCATCGATTTCATCTACCTATACTTTTGCACAGTATATAACGTGTATGACTGTTGATATAATTTTCGCGAGTGACCGATTCTCGCTGACTCTGTGTCTAGTTAGACAAGTCTAAGATCGATCTCCTTTGTTTGTTGCGTTGTTGCAGAAGCAGCGGACCAAATTACTTCGACATGCAGCGGTCGCAAATGCGCAGAATCACATTTTATCTACCTTGTCTAGGAGCGACTCAATATCCTAAATGCCAGCGGTTATCATGACCTTCGCACGGCTGACGAGCGATTCCTCTTTGCACGAGAGGCATAGCCTAAAGCACAGAAGGCCGGCATGCTCAATGGCCTGTGAACACACCACCTCAGAGCACATGATCTGTAGACCAGGGGAGCCTGTGTGAGTCGGTGCCAAAGCTCTTGGCTACATGACCTCAGAGAAGCACAGATTGTTCAAGGCTCACTCTCACCAAGCGCAGGTGAGGAAGGATATATATTTCTCACACGAGAAGAAGGACCGAGCGTGAGCCCAATGTAAGGATAGTCCGAGATGAGGGTAGGGTAGATCCGAGGACGGGATATCTGCGGTGAAAGGCGAGTGCGAGGTGTGTCCATACGTCCGAGTCATTTCGTCTGACCTTCCGCGAGGATACACCGCACATAGGTATTGCCAAAGCAAAAGCTCACTGCCCAGCAGCCGCACAATCAGAACCAGTTATCTCTCTCCCACCTTCTAGCGATGAAGCTGCCTTCCCTGATCACCCTACTGCTAAACTCTCAAGTCCTCGCAGGCACTATACGCTACTCAGTCAACTTCTTAGCCGCCAACGGCCATGTCAGAGTCGCTAGGCGAAGTGAGCCGTTCCCCGAGGAGCGGATCGACGTGCTTCTGCTGAATATGGAGCGTTGGTCCTCGCATAGGTACCGAGCTGAACGAGTGGATGAGATGACTGTGAAGGTCTGGAAGATCTCGAGGGTCGACTCGCGGGATGAGGTCAAGCCACACTTGCGTGAGATGAGGAGAATTGTGAGGCAGCACTTTGAATGACTGCCGGGGGGACTGATTGGCTCGGTTTGGTGACTCGGGGGGAATAATAAAGGTCATAATTGGTTCTGCGTGAGTGCTTTCACCATCTGTATACCGTTAGTCGCAGCATAAATATGCCCTTGATATAAGTTGTCGTCCTTCCAACTAATGCGTTCAGGTCTGGACACGCGGCTGGCGGCCATCAATGTATTTCTGCAGGTTTGACAGATCCGTAGTAAGCTTCGAGTTCTCCTGACTTGTTCTTCCCACTATCACCCACTTTTTTCATGTGCAGTATTGCTCTTTCCGGCAATCATCCGAGCGGCGCGTGGTAGCTTCTGCGCGGACGCTCTTTCCGTACTTGGAGCACCACTTACTGGACTTGGAACCAAACTTCTTTCCCCAAGCTCCTACCTTCAGATTCGCCCGTCACCATTACTGCTTGTCACTGTAAAGTTCTTCTCACTGTCACCTTCATCCGCATCTCTCTGTCACGATCATGCCCTACTCACTGTCACCGCCATCCCCTTCTCACTGGCACTGCCATTCCCTTTTCACTGTACCACGCAATCCTATCACCGTAATCATTGGCTCCTCGTTTCATGTCTCCAGAGAAGCCTCTTCAGCATGTCCACCTCCTCCTGAATCAGGGAAAGCCAATGCCAGCAAGGAGAAAGAGGCGCACCACAAGCAACACGCCCGCATCGGGCATCACACACACGCCATAGACCCTGCCTAAATCCGTGGATAGACCAAGTTCCTCAAGGCCCTAAGAGCACCAAGGGCATCGACGAGTGGGTAAAATAGGACGGTCAATATGATAGCTCGCTTTTCTCTTGGAGTGCTGTCTTCTGCCCATAATTAAGCATGTCCAGCATAAGTTTCCGAATCCCCGAGCGTACTTGAGCATGATGACGGAGAGTCTTGACCACGTCAGAAGTAGGACCGAGCACTAGCCCATCTGAGACACACGCCGAGAACCCAGATGAAGATTGCATGCCCTTGAAGGAGAAAAGGGCTCACCAGCCCGATCATGAGAAGAAAGAGAGTACAAGAGTGGTGCTGTCAATATGCATTCAAAAATTTCAAGGTGAAAACTTGCAGCTTGTCGGTCGTGTGGACTATATCCAGCCGCCTCGTCAGCATGCGGAATACACGCACGTTTCTTCTGGCTCTTCTCCTGCTAGCCACTCAAACTCTGGCAGGAATACTCCGGTATGAAGTCAGCTACTTAGGACCTAGCCGGCATATCAAGACGGCGCGACGATCCGAGACATTCCCTGAAGATCAGTTTTCGAGACTTCTGCTGAATATGGAGCATTGGTCTAAGAACAAATACCGAGCGGACCGTGTGGATATGACTACGGTCAAGGTGTGGAAGTGTTCTAGAGTCGACACCCTTGAAGAGACCAAGCCGTGCTTCAGGGAGATGAGGCGAATCGTGAGGCGGCATTTTGGAGTGGGGCAGCCGATGCAGAAAGACGAGGCTTCAAGGCAACGCTGTTGAAATCGGGTCCACCTCGACTGCTGTATCGTGGTCCAGATATCGACCTGTCGTGAGTCAAGGTCGACCATGCATGACTGTCTGGTAAGTGGGAATGAAAATTCCTGAAGGGGAACAACAAAGCCAGCCTGATATTTGAAGTCTTCGAGATGAGCCAGGATCTAGTCGCCTTAGATAGGCAATTTAAGGTACAAAACGCTAGGAATTGGTCAGACACTCCTTTGTATAATCGAGAATCCTCAAAGCCCGGTCATGTAAAAAAAAAAGCAGAACCAATCCTCCAGCCGAACTCTGGAGGGCTGTGGAGGACCCAGACCGAGGAGAAGACGAAATAATAAATGCTTTGACCTATATAGGGAGTATTCACTGGGACAGTGAGACGACCATGCTGTCAAACATGAACTACTTTGAGATCCAATCATGAAAGTGGAGTCCTCACGCATAGTGACCGAATGAACAGAGGGTATTCCGCTTCCGAGCTCCGACGAGACGACCGCCGTTCTTGGATCCGGATGCGACCTAATCATAACGACCGGAGATGTCAAGATCAGCTCGAAGAGCTATGAGTGTATTGACGGCAGGGTTGAGGCCCTGCCGTCACCGCAAACAGCAGACTTGGAACATCGTAACATTTTCGATTCGTCAAGGGTTCAATGGCGAATACATGTCAATGTTTCGTCGTGTGGGACGGAGATGTTGTGCTTAAGCCAGCCTAGGGCTGAAATTTGATAGGCTTCGCACGGTACCGACCTCCGGACGAGGCGTCTACCGTATCACCATGACACGCGCCTTACCGGGCTCCGCATCCTTCCAAACCAACGATGACGTCCAGAAACCCGTAATTAGATCAATCTAGCCTTTCAGTCGTAGAAAAAGACTTTTGATGGTCCACTGGAGCCCTCCGGGCACCAGTATGAACCTAGAATCGCCCTGGAGCCCACACACGTTTTCACAAAAGCCAAAAAGTGAAAAAGATAAGCTGCTACGCTGGGTCGAACAACGGACCTTAGGATATTTCATTACTGCAATCCCACGCTCTACCACTGAGCTACAGCAGCTTCATGGCTCCATGGGAAGTTTCTTGAATATATAATGCACAAATAACAGTCCCGGCTACTGACCAAAGAATTAAGCCATGGAAAGTCTAATTTTGTTTAGTTATGGATAGTAAGACTCATTTAGCATTCTGAACAAGTGGAAAATCTCAAATCAAATTTAGCATCTATAGTATATTCTGATAGTCATTCTATATTGTCTTGACTTTAACGTTTACGAGTAGGCTGATCCGTTCAGTACTCCTACTACACCTGAGAAGAGACGACACTTGACAGAGCTTCCGCTCTCTCAGATTCTATTCAGAAGGCGTACAAGTAATACCCGGCGACCACGGCATGATAATCTTAGAGAAATATCAACTTGGATCAAATTGACATAAAATTCGAGAGAATTCTTTATTTCGTGTTCCGTGCTCGAAATCCGACCACAAACCGTATGCTAAGCTTATACTTCTTAATACTCTGCAAAATGACCTGCTGCTAGTATGTTCCTGATCCGGAAAGAAGCCTATAGACCTGGGTTGACTGCAGGGCCTCCGGCCTCGCAGCCAACTCTTCCCGCCTAAGAAGCTGGGAAGCTGCTGTAGCTCTGTGGCAGAGCGTGGGATTGCAGTAATGAAATATCCTAAGGTCCGTTGTTCGACCATGACCCTGCGGGTCATGGCCCAACCCCACCACATGTCCTCTGAAATCTAGGGGGTACAGCAAGGTGGGGATACAGCATAGTGCACCGAGAAGACAGACAGTATAGCGCTACATGAGATCGAGCACGTTGCATCATTCATTTGATATATACTTTTCACTAGCCTCGCTACACCAGCTTGTAAAGCGCCTGCAATATCAGTTGTTTCAAATGAACAATTCCTTTACGTCTTGACATCCGGTTCGGTACGGCCGATGTACTCCTGCAACTTCAGCAGCTCGGTGGCGAGCTTAACGTTCTCCTTGAGATAGTCCTGTGCGTCCAAGTCGTATGTCCTCTCGTCACTCTCGTGCCTCTCGATGTACAATCTGATCGTAGCGCCCGAGCTGCCAGTGCCACTGAGACGGACAACAATACGGCTGCCGTCATCAAACTTGACGAAGATACCCTGGTTCTTGCTCACGCTGCCGTCGAGATCCGTGTAGCTGAAGTCGTCAGCCTCGAGCACCTTACGTCCACTGATTGTGGAGCCGACAAATTCGTTGCGCTTGGTGGTGATGAGCTCCTTCATATGCGCGGTGACCTTGTTGGCACCCTCGGTCTCGCAGCCCTCGTAGTCGTAACGGGTGAAGAAAGTACGGCCATAAGTCTTCCAGAAGTCTTTTTGAATCGACTTGATGCTCGGGGTAGTTCCGGTGTGCTGACCAACGCCAGCCAGGATGTTGAGCCATGCGACAACTGCCCAAAGACCATCCTTCTCACGAACGTGGTTCGAGCCAGTACCGAATGACTCCTCACCACAGATGTTCATCTTATCGGAATCAAAGAGACCGCAGAAAAACTTCCAACCCGTGGGTACTTCGTATGACTGCAGACCCTTCTTCTTGGCCACGAGATCGACTGCACCGGATGTCGGCATTGATCGGGCAAGTCCATATACACCTTGCTTTTTGAAGTAGGGGATGAGGTCGGCGTGGTGAGCGATGATGGCGAGCGAATCACCTGGCGAAACGAAGGCGTTGGCACCGTAAATCATGTTTCGGTCACCATCACCGTCACTTGCTGCACCAAATTGAATTCCGTTCTTGTCGACCGCTTCAACCAAGCTGTGTGCGTAGACAAGGTTGGGATCCGGATGGTGACCACCAAAGTCTGGTTTCGGTACACAGTTCTGGGTTGATCCCTTGAGTCCAAGCTCTTTCTCGAAAATGTCTACGCCGTAGTTTCCGGTGACACCCGACAGTCCGTCGAACAAGACTTTGAAGTCGGAATGCTCCTTCAGGAAAGATTTGATGAGGTCAAAATCGAAGATCTCCTTGAGCATCTTGACGTAGTCCTCGGTCGAGTGCACGATCTCCACCTCGAGCGGGCCATACTTCTTGGTGCCAATGGTGGAGAGATCGATGTCGGGGATGTCAACGATCTTGTACGAAGTGAGAGTCTTGGAGGTTTCGTAGATTTTGTTCGTGACGCTCTCGGGGGCGGGGGCACCGTTTGCGAGGTTGTACTTGATACCGAAGTCCTCGGTCGGGCCTGGAAGCATGAAAGTCAGGTTTCAGAATTTCAGCTATCTGTTCTATAAGAGACTTACCGCCAGGGTTGTGACTGGCGGTCAGCAAAATGCCACCAGTGGCTTTGCGCACACGGATCAAGTTGCTGGCTGCTGGCGTGCTCATGATGCCATCTTGGCCGATGAGAAGCTTCTTGACGCCATAAGCAGCACCAATCTTTGCGATGAGCTGAGTGACTTCAGGATTCCAGTACCGACCATCTCCTCCAATGACAAGGAAAGAGTCTTCGACACCCTCTGGTATCGAGAGCAGGATGGAAGCAACGAAGTTTTCTGAGTAATGATCTTGTTGAAAGACCTTGACCTTCTTGCGCAGGCCGGATCTTGGAAATGTCAGTTTTTGAACAGATCCTGTTGATTGGAAACAATTGGACAGCTCACAGGGCAGCTAGACCGCTTGTTCTGTGATACACTTACGTTCCGGGCTTCTGGTCAGTGAATGGCTTCACGTTGACGGTCTTGACGCTCATGTTGGCAATGGCAGTATGTGAAAGTGAATTAGGGAGAAACTTGAAGTTGAAATCGAGTGAGATCTGAGGAAATCAATTGATTTTTATTTTAACAGAAGAAGCAGAAGCTGAAATGTTTGTCGAATGGAGGGGAGACGCAGTATGACGGTGAGCTCCAGCTTGAACCAACGAATGGCCGAATTCCTGGCGGGGCACCCAACAAGCTCAGACCCCTGGTGTGGGGTTGATTTTGATGGCCGAGGGGCCTGGAGTCGCCTCCCAAATGCCGATCAGAGGCAAACTCGCCCAACGCTAGACTGAGCTGGCGTCGGCGACTTCGTAGTTGCATCATCGCCTGGTATGCCTGACTTTCCCTAAGAATCGATGGTTGAGCAGACTGCATTTGCCTGGCGAACGATGCACAGGAGCCTGCTGATAACCATGTCCGTGAGGGCGCTCGTGTACAGATGTCTGATACTAAAATCTTAGCATTGAACATCACACTTTTATAGCATGTAGATTCGTGCTTGAATTTCTTCAAGGATTTTCTTGTATCTGGAAGATTAGTTGAATGCCCCGTGAACGGCTTCAGACACGGTCACGGCTGATTGACTTGAGTCATTGATCTGTGGACACCAAACACTATCGCTACTCCGACATCTGTATTTACAGTATTATCATTAGGAAAGCCTGCATTCATGCCTGGATATCAAATGAGGTCCCGCACCCGCAACTGCTCTTAGCCCCTGGTATACCCGTGACCTTGAATTGGCTCCCTATAAGCTCCATGGTGTAGTCGATCTTGCTGCCTTTCAGCAGCTCCAGACTCGATTCGTCCAGCACAACTTTCGCTTCCTTTCCATCCTCCGACTCAAACACCGTGTCCTCCTCTTTCGATATCTCCTCCATAGAAGTGAGGGACATGAGATACTGAAATCCGTGGCATCCGCCAGACTCTACTGTGACCCGGAGGGCGAGCGACGGGTTTGAGTCTTTCAGGGCTATCGCATGCAGTCTCTGAGACACGGGTTAGCAGAATTCGCCCCGGCAGTCGAAGGCGACGTACGTTGGCAGCTCTAGTTGTGATGTCGACAAGCATGTCATTCCCATCATCGTCCTTGCGAGGGTTAACAATCGCTCTGCTGCAAAGAATCGTCGAGCTCGAAAATGGCCGTGATGACATCTGCATGGAGTACCGCGTTGCTGGCTGATAGTGCGTGCCGCCTCTCGGGCAGAGTGGCGAGCTGTAGAGATCTACTGATTTGCGGATTTGCACATTTGAAAGTCGAGCAGTCGGCTGGCTGGAGAGATTGCGCCGGCAAGGTGTGTCAAAGACTCGCAGTCGTCGAGAGAGTGGGCGAAAGGATCGCATAGGTGCGTAGAACGATGTTGAAGCCATGGCGTAAGGTGAGTGGTCGAGAAGTCGGCTTCATTCACGACAAGGTAGAATCATGTCCATCACATAATACCTCGAAGGAATTGTAAGCCGCGAGGCACAGGCAAGTTGTAGCGGCCGCGTTCCCCGCACCGCGGCATCTGTACCCGATGTTTCAATCGCGCCTGCAGGTAACGTCTCGCGCGTTGCAAATGCCTCGCATCCTATTCGATGGATTCCTGTGCTCATTTATATTGCTTGGATTGCTATATACCCCTCCTATCGCCCCCGCCCGTTCAGAAGTCATTACTTTTAACGCGGCGCCATGGCACCACTACTGGATGACGGCCACCAGACCACCGAGGAGTATATACCTCGTGTCTTGATAATTGGAGCCGGATCCCGGGGAAATGGTTACTCGAGAGCGATCGAAGAATCCGGGCTCGGCATTGTCGCTGCTGTCGCTGAGCCCATTGCTTACAAAAGACGCTTGCTTGGCTCTAAGTACATCTGGAAGGACCGACAACCATCGCCGGGCCAGGAATTTGAGAGCTGGCAAGACTTTCTCCAATACGAACGATCCCGACGTAGTGGTGAGACCAACGGACATGCATCGCCACCCATCAACGCCGTTTATGTCTGCGTCCTTGACGAGCAACATGTTGAGGTGGTGACCGCTTTAGCTCCTTTTGGGTTTCACATCATGTGTGAGAAGCCACTAGCAACTACCCTCAAAGACTGTCTGTCCATCTACACATCTCTCTCTTCGTCCTCTGAGCAGCAGCCTTCCAACATCTTTGGCATCGGTCATGTACTCCGCTACAGTCCTCACAATATGTTGCTGCGAGACCTCGTCCTCGAGAAGAATGTCATTGGCGATGTTCTTTCCATAGAGCACACGGAGCCCGTTGGATGGTGGCACTACAGCCACTCTTACGTGAGGTAAGTCCAGATCGTGTTCCAGCA